AATGGCAATTTAAGAAGCTGTTTGAAAATGCCTTATCATAGTTTTTCGTACATTTTGTTTTTCAACACACTTATGCTGAAAGTATTTTTAAGAATACAAATTCAATGGAGGAAAGAACAAAAACTAAATTGAAACAACAAACGATGATCTAGCTCTTTCRTACACAACGGTTTTTTTCTGGTCGCGAGATACATGGTGATAGTACACCTGTAAATCTGTGTTTGACAATCAAATATGAACCTATGCAAGTTGTTGCAGCTGCAAATATGGTGTTTATTCAAATGCACAACCTTTTACAACTTTTTTTAGATGTTAAAAGCATTAGATAGTACCTCTGATAGTTTGGAATATTATTTTAGATTTCATTTGACAATGTTCGCTAGCAAGTACTTGCAATAGTACGATCTCTTTTAAAGGTATTAGTTTAGTCTTTTTCCATGCATACCGGAACACGCCACAGACCGCCAAACTTACTTTATAGCAACATGAAAAAGGAACGCATTCGTTTTGCTGTGAGTCTATTCAAAATCAAACGACTTGGAAGAAAAATTGCGTAGAATTATTTACTGGTAAAAATACTGAATAGTGTCTACACCACGATGAGTTCTTCGTAAATTCTAGCACATTCAAAATGTTGAAAACCGTTTCATATTTATAAAGTTTGAATAAGTTTCGTCAACATTCAAGCAAAAGTCAATATTCTCGTACCCAGACTCTTTTTATCTTCCGATCGACACTCAAAAGGAGAGGCCCCTACAGTAGGGTCTGGGTACGAGAATGCACAAACAAGACTTGTCCCCAAAAATCCGATTGAGCTATGGAACTGAAGACTAATATACTACTGTTATTTTCGGGTAGGTGATATAGCTATACCAAAGAATTCAATTAACTCTATCTATAGTGGATAACTTAAAGAGAGTTAAATTTACTCGATAACAAGGGTTATAACTCTACTTTATTATCTTAACTCAGTCCCTCTGGAGTAATTTATATTATAACTCGCGAGAAAAAGAGTCATTCTGTATCAGTCTTGGAAATATAACAGTATAATTAACAATTAGACCTCGAGGTCGAGTGGACTAYGAGCTAATAGCCCATGAGACCGAGTCCGCGAGGCCGAATGGGCTATTAGCTCGTAGTCCACGAGGCCGAGAGGTCTAATTTTTTTAGTATACACATACTAGTATGTTTATAATAAATAAGATTATCGCCTTTAATCTGAATTAGAAATATAACTGTACTATGAGTCTTGGTTTTACCTTCCAATCCAACCACCCCAGCCCAAATTTCCGAAAGGATTTCTAGGAGGTGGCTGATAGCGGGGAGGGACGTATGGTGGTGGGGTAGGGGCTGGTGGTGGGGTAGGGGCTGGTGTTGGTTTGGGGGTTTGTGGAGTTGGGCTTGGGGCTGGAGTTGTTTTTTGAGCTTGCTCTAATGCTTGCTCTAAAGCTTTTTCTATTGTGATTGGAGGAGGTTGGCAGTATAAACCGCCATGTTTAGCGGTGGATTCCTTTGGACAGGGAGAACATTTGTTGTCATACACTGATGTTCTGTATCGATTTTCCTGGCAGCAGCCATCTTGGCTTACAACGACATCAAGTTGTCTTGGAATTGCTCCTTGCACAATACTTTTCTTCCTGGCACTGAGTGGTATCATCAAAACTGTTTTGGCTCTCAGAAGGAGATTGGTATCGTGGTTTGGTGCCGCGTAATTCCCCTTTAAAGAGATAATCATTYTCACAATTATCGTCAACAGTTAAGCTTTAAGGTAGGTGGAAAAGATATACATTTATCAGAGTGGAGCCAAAAACATTTGAACATTTTGAAAGTCATACAMCGCAGAGTGATGACCGACTCATTCTATAAAAGTGCTTGCTCTTCCATCACAGCAGCATCGTTAATTCATCATAGTTCTTTATCGTTTAATTGAATGGGGTTTTTTCTATCCTCAGAGGGCCCACGCATCTCAAAATCACTTTATCTGGGTTGCACACAGAGAATTTTGTTTTCTTGGGAGCTAGAATTATTTTATCCATCGGGAGCTGTATTCCTGCGTTAGTTGGTGCCTATTTCTAATTTACATATCTAGCAATGAGGGATGAATGGCCGTAATTTATGTATAAATAAAGCACGTTCCTCCACCTATCATAGTGTAAACTGAAATAAAGGTCTAAACACACCTTGTTTGGTCCTTGAGATGTCACGACTTTCAGGCTCCATGTTGAAAGGACAGTGGCTAGGAGGTTGTTCCCAACCAATCTACTAGTTTTATCACATATCTTCGGCAGGTTATTGCAAAGACTGTACGGATTTTTCATTTCGTTGCTGCACGTGGAGTAGCCTTAATTAATTAAAATATCAAAAATAATGGTTAAAATGTTGCTTCCACTTTTCAATGATAAAACCGCCTAAATGAAAACGTGAAAAGTGTCATCATGCAGTCCGGATCTTGGAAAGGTTGTCCAACTATAAAGACATTTCCAATGTTGCAATTGTAAAAGTGTCTTGATATATATGTATAATATATATATTCAGATTGTATATAATATATGTATTCAGATTCTGCACGTAAAATATTCTCTAATGTCCATATACAATTTTTATAAACGATGCCACTATTTTTCACGAGCAGAAAGTGCAATTGGAACATTATTACGCGAACAACCTTTTCAAAATCGGCTTTATGCAAAAATTAAGGGAGCAATATGTGTTTGACAGTTACCTTCCTCATAAATAGTTCGATATTTATTCAGCTCTTTTGGAAGAATATACACAGTGCCGGTGTTTGGATTGCTTGTGGAAACAGAGCTACCAAATACTGATTTCATTAACACTGTTGTGGTAGCCCGACCTTTGGGACTGAAATCATTTTTAGGAAGGAAAAGCTTTATGCTTTTTATAAACGGAATTGTTTCTTCAGATGGTAAAATCCAACCATGTCGAGTTAGCCAATCGCGGTCTGCTGGGACTTTGAATACTACTGTATCTCCTCTTGCTAAAGCCCTGAGGTCAACAACTCCAGTGTCGCCTTTGGTTTGAGAAAGAGTGGGGAAGTAAAYTTCTCTCTCAACCTCATCATGAGGAATGTGCGACTTACGAGCGATGAGGTGGTCGATATTTTCTTTTCTGTACAAGCCATTGACTGTTGAGCAGTCGGAGACAGCTTTTCCAAGGTTTTTGTATTCCAAGACATCACAAAAAACTGAGCAGACCTTTTGGATTTTGAGCTGCATCATCATAAAACCAGTCATGAACTGACTTGCATCTAGAGTGTCGTGCCTGAAAAATATTATTATTTGAGCCGATCTAAATTCTAACTGTGACCACATTTTAGAGTCAGCCATCGGTCCAGAGGTGTGCATCTAGCCTACATTGTATAGCTTGCGTGGCGGTTCAAGGGGAGGAGAAGTGTTGGAGACCTCTCCCCTAAAGCCGCCACGCATGCAGGCGTCGGAATCATTCATTTTGCAGAAAAGTGTGTCATATTAAAACAAATGTTTTAGAACGCCAAACACCTGTAAACGTGGTCCAATCAAAAATATATTAAGGACTCAAATACGATGAAATTAAATAGTGGACGAAAGGATTCATGGTCTGGTAAAAGCATTAATTGTATTGCTGACCTTCCTTTGATGTCCTTTGCAAATCTTTCCGCGATATTACCACGCACAACAGCAGCCAGAGAGTCAACCATTTGAAATTGGAAGTCGAAGATGTCTTCTCTTAAGGTAAAAAACTGTGCAAGCGTACCATCGAGCCTTTCACAAATAAGCTTTCCTCCAGCTATGGATTTGGGGATCGATCCTGCCATTCCGACATCACCACCAAGAACATCACACATTGCATCTTTAAACGCCGACCAGAGCGCGTCGTTTTTAGCCAGTGTGGACCTGTCCATCTTTGGGGTATAGTTTCCATATTCTTTAAGGTATTTATCAGCATCATCTCCGATATCATTGTCGTTGCCTTGCTTTATTTTCTCTACTATTGCATTCATTGATGTAAGTTGCTTTGCGTTTTCACCAAATGCTGACTGCAGATTCAATGAATCGCGATACAGCTCTTGGACAGAGACAATCAGGGCTGAACCCTTTACTAAGTCAGACGCAGCATTGGCGACAGCACCTGCACGGTCCATTAAGTCGACAACATCGGGGCCAGAAAAGATCAATTTCAAAGGGTTGCTATTGGTAGCTATTGCAGCAGCGAGCTTTGCAAT